AGTGTTTCCTCAGGAACCCTCTGTTCTGAAAGCGAAAGCCGCCCATGTCTCTGCATAAAAATTAGGTGGAACCACCCAATAGGCAGGTCCTTTCCACGGGTAGGAAAAAGTACGCAAGCTAAGGATTTCTACAGTTATGAAAGAAAGGCTTTCCTTTGGGTGTGCACTATTGTTATTTCCATTGTGAGTGGTGATTTTCCTTTCTCACCCCTCCTAGTACACTGTGGAGGTCCAGGTTACCCCAGGCTCTTCACTTTCCTCTCTCCAGGTACAACACCACAATTGATGTCCTTGCTGAAAGACTTTGTTTATACAATGGTTTTTATTTGGTGAATCTGCCCTTTAAAAAAGAACTAAAATGATTCTTTTTAAAAAAGGCAACTGATTTTGCTGCCAGATAGCGCAGTGGCACAGCAGTGAAATGTGATGCTCACATAGGAAGACCCAGGTGGTGTCTGGGGACCTCTCTGAGTATGCCAGGCAGGTGCTTGCCCATGATGCAGAGCTGGCTAGAGCTAGGAGTGGACAGCACTGTTAAGGCCCTGCTGGGGGTGCTATCTCTCTGTCTCTTACTCATGAAAGAAAATAAATAAATATACAACAACAACAAAAGTGAGCCCTAACCAACTATAACAGGGGTTAGGAATACAAGCATACATATACATAGCATACAAAAGGTTTCCACATTTCAATCAGCAAACAATAATATTGTCCTAAGAGGCTAAACCCCAAATATACGTCTCCGCCCAACATATTCAGAAGAGGAATGTTAAGTGTGTCTCCTCTCTAACTTGTCAGGCTGGTTGTGTCTAATTTGGGAATTGTCTGGTATCTATTGACCCTAAAGCATGTTTTTTTCTTTTTCCCAAGAAAAACTTTAAAGTTCACCATTTTAAAAAATCATGTTTTTTACTGAAATTAATTTTAGACTACTTTTTAAAAATCGTAAAAATCATGGAACCAGTAATTGGTATAATGGCTATGTCACTGGACTCTCCTGTAGTCGACTGTGGTTC